CCCAGAGCACCCAAAGCACAGAGTACCCCACAGCCCAGGGCACCCTAGATCCAGTACACCCCACAGCCTTGTGTACCCCATGGCCCAGCGCACCCCCAGTCCAGGGCACCCCAAAACTCAGGGCACTCCAGGTCCAGGGCACCCCCAGCCCAGGGCACTGCATGGCCCAGCACACCTCATGGCCCAGGGTACTCCAAAGCCCAGGCACCCTAAGTCCAGTGTACCCCTGCCCAGTGTACCCCAATCTACAGCATCCCAAAACTCAGGCCACCCAGGTCTAGGGCACCCCAAAGCCCAGGGCACTCCAGGTCCAGGGCCCTGCATGGTCCGGGCCAACACAGCCTCCTAGACCTGCTCCCCCCCAATGCCCCGACTTGGTTTCTTCCCCTCGGCCTCACATCAGTCTCCCGCCCCCCACAGAGCACCGGGCTTGGTGCAGGCGCCAGGAGCTCCAAGCACAGATACATTTCCTGAAACCTGAGCTTCTGAGAGGCCCAGGCCTCTGCCACCATTGTCACCCGAGGGAGGGAAGAGGGGGTGGGGGCAAACACCATCCCCAGGGCTCTGGGCCCCAGGGCTGCAGCAGGAGGAGCAGACCAAAGCCCACCTCACGCAGGAACCCAGACGCCCATGCTCCACACCAGAGACCAGCCAGGGCCTTGCCTGGGTGCACCTCCCCACCCCCAGCAAACCCCCTCTAGGTCCCAGGCCCCCCACTGTGAAGACAGTGGCAGCCGGGGCCTGCTAGCACCTGCCACAAAGCGCAGGGTACAACTGATGCCAGCCACACCCCGCTCAGGCCTGGGATGTGGGGATAGGAACCCCGCTCAGGCCTGAGGTCTGGGGACAGGGACTCCGCTCAGGCCTGTGGTCTCAGGACAGTGACCCCACTCAGGCCTGGGGTCTGGGGACAGGGACCCCATTCAGTCCTGGGGCTGGGGATAGGGACCTCACTCAGGCCTCTAGCCTGAGGATAGGGACCCCACTCAGGCCTAGGGTCTAGAGACAGGGACCCTGCTCAGGCCTGGAGTGTGGGGACAGGCACCCCGCTCAGGCCTGGGGTCTGGGGATAGGGACCCTGGCTGGGACCTGGGGTCTGGGGACAGGGACCCCGCTCAGGCCTAGGTCTGGGGACAGGGACCCTGGCTGGAGCCTGCGATTGCAGATTCTTGTCTTCCCACCCCAACCCCACCACCAGCAGCTCAGACCGGAGCCGGGCTCCATAAGCGCCCCTTCATTGGCCTAGCTTGCTTCTCTCGTAAAGACACCCCGGAGCAGCCCAGGAGGGCCCCTGAGAGCCACAGTCCCCTCCCACCCAGGCCTGCTGCCTGCTCCCCGACCCGCACCCCCCACCCCACCCCCGCCTTCCTATCATGCTGCAGCTTTGACCCTTCAGTCCACCCTCAGGGACCAGGGACAAACCCCCAGCCCACTCTCCAAACCTCCCTAGCCAAGGACAGTCCTCCCTGGCTCCTACGGTCCCCATGTTGCCTGGGCACTGAAAGCCCCACCCTGCCCCCATACCAAAGCTTTGAACAAGACCCCCAGTGTACAAGGCGGACATGCTCTGAGTTCCCCCCAGGGCTCTGGGCCCCAGGGCCACGGCAGGGGGAGCAGACTGATGCCCACCCAATACAGGAACCCAGACACCCATGGTCCACAACAGACCGGCCAGCTCTCCTGGTCCCTACTGGGAAGGTGTGGGAAGAAGGTGTCTCCGTGTGCAGACGGGATCCCCTGAAGGTGGGGTGGGGAGGCCAGGGCCCTGTCAGCCCCAGCCCCAAGCTCAGAAAAAACAGGAAGCAGCGTGGGGCTGAACCTCATGCCTGCCTCGAGCAGCTTAGGTGGCCCCAGGCACAGACCTCAGCCTGGCCCACCTTGAGCCCCAGTTGGGCTAGATACAGGGGGCAGGCTCTGTAAGAGCCTTCCTCCCTAGGGCGAAGAGAGGAGAGGAGAGGGAAGGCTGGGAAGGGGAGGTACTGGACAGTTCTGGGAGCCAGGCTGGGGGCACAAGCAGAGCCTGAGCTGGGAGCCCAGCAGCCCTATCTGACTTCATGAGACCCGCAATGAAAAAGCACCACCGCGCCCATTTCACAGGAGAGAAAAGCTCAGCCCCAGCACCTTCTGATGGCCCAGGACCTCAGGCCTCCTGAGCTGACAGATACAGGGTCAGCCACAGGCCCACCTCCTATATCTGCAGGGCCCTCACCCATCCCGTTCTCCTCACAAGCCCAGATCTGTCACGGGGACCATGCTCCACCCACGCCACCCCGCACAGCTGCCCTGGAGCCCAGCACGCACATGCCGAGACAGAACAGGAGAGACCCTCGCTGGCAGGCAGGCTCCTGGGCTCCTGGCTCCAGAGATGGGCCAGTCAGGCAGGCACGGCTTCCAGCTGCACCTCTGAGGGCGGGGCCCTGGCTGCCCACGTCACAGCCAACTGCCACCACCCTGCTCCTCCCTCAGCCAGCAGGTGCCCCCTGGGCCTGCCACCTACCAGGCCCCAGAGCAAAGCTCCCCGTTGCCCCCACCATGACACTACTCCTCTCCAAACCTCCATCACCACCTGCCACGCCTACAGAGCACCCGGGGTGCGTGCACACACGCAACCGGGAGAATGTGGCCTTACCCTGCCAGCTACAAGTCAGGCACCAGGACCAACCCAGGCTGATACTGGCCTCCTGGGGACGTCTGGGGGTGGAGCCAGGAGAGGAGGGGCAGCCAGGCAGCCTGCCGGCACGTGGTCCACCACCTCTCCACATCTAAGACCCCGGGCCCACCCACCAAGGGAAGCTGAGCCTGAGACCAGCACAGATTCATGAGTTGTAGACAGCACACAGACCCCGGCCAAGAAGCCAGGCCAGGGGGCAGAGGGCCATCCAGCCAGGCCTGGGTCACCAGCAGAGACCACAAGGTGGGAGAATCACTCAGGGGGTAGGGGGCAGAGGGAGTGAATGCAGAGCCCAGACTCCCCAACTCCTCTTCCACAAGGCCCTCTCATACCCTTTACTCCACAGAGCCCAAGAGTCCTGCGGGCCTGGGCAGGATGCCACCCTAGCCTCCAGGCTGAAACCCCTCAAGTCCCAGGGAGCCTGAACTTCCTGTCACAGCCAAGTACACCTCAGATCACCGCACAGAGCAGGACCTCAGCAAGTCAGGGCAGTGTGGCCACGGGCTGCTGCCGCCCGAGTGCAAATACCAGGGTGCTGGCATCACGGCACAGCTCTCGCCTGGCAGCCAGGCCACATGGCAGGAGAACAGGGCTGCCCCCAAACATGCAGCTATGCCTCTGCCCCGGCCCCCAACCCAGAGACAGGCCGCCTGCCCCCTCCTGGGGCATTCGAGGAACCGGCTGGAAGCAAGAGGCAGGGAGGTGAGCTGGCCCCGAAACCCAGTGCCCGGACTCCAAGGAAGGCAAGGGCCTGCCCAGTCCCATCCCACACCTGACCGGCTGGCCAGCGGGGCAAAGAGCCAGGGCGGACACGCGATAGCCCGCCACATTCCTCCAAGACCTCCCTGCCCCCACACCCACTGCTGCCAACTCGAGCAGAAAACACATCCTCAGGTAGCGATGTGGGGCCACGCTGGCTCAGGCCCAGGTGCAGATGACAGGCTGCGGGCCCTGCTCAGACCTGCCTGCGCGCTGCCATGGGGGCGAGGGGCTGGGCTTCTCACAACTGCCTGGGCCCTCCCATGCCTGCCCCTGCCTTTTCCATCAGGGGGACACTTTCCCCACTCTGAGGCCCCTCGGGTCAAGGGATACCCAGCGGGGTGCTCAGGGGTTGAGGACATGGCCAAAGGGGACTGTGGCCAGCTTCCACAGGTGGGAGTTCAGGAAAGGGTGAGGATAGGGGTAGCAGGCAAGGCCGCCAGCCAGGGCTTCAAAGGTACAGCACAGGACTGGGAGCCAGACACGGCAGGCCCAACTGGCATGACCTCGGCAGGGCTTGCCCTCAACTCACAATCTCTTTGGGGCCCAGGATACCAGGTGGGCACACTCCTGTGCCTCCTGCTGGCTGGAGCCACTTCCTGGCTCCCAGGTCCATCTACTCCCTGATCACAAGTCTGCATGGGTTTCTCATTCCAGCACCCACCCAGTTCCAGTTCCCCAGCACAGTGACCAAGCAGGGAAGGACCTCTGGGCAACAGGGCAAGGCCCTGCTCCAGGGAATGAGGTAAGGCGCCCAAGGCCTGGGCCTGCCCACCTACCACTACCCGCCCACCAGCCCACTGGGATGAGTACCTGTTTCCCAGTGACACTGGACCCCTACCACCCTTCCTCCCAGCATGCCCAGGCCAGGGCCCCTGCCTGACTGGCTACCTGCCAGGAGAGACTAGAGAGCCCCAACTCAGTTTCTGCGCCTCCAAAGAGTAACAAAACCAAAAAAATCCACAAACAGGGCAGTGCCACAGAAGATCACAACACCAGGATCCCACTATTTCTGCTTCTGAAGGATCTTGGGCCGGCATCGGGGGCTTTCGCCGACATAGGCGTTAGGCGTTAGGCTCTCCCGGGCCTAGGTCCCACGGCGCCCGCCCGTGCCCCCCAGGCATCCAGGAAACTGCAGGGCAGGCGCAGGCTGGCCACGGGCCCGGGGCGGCTCCGTCAGGGCCTGCCCTAGACCAGCCCCAGCACGCGCTGCGCACATGCCTCCGCGGCCTGCCCGGGACCTGGGCGCCTCGCCTCGCCTCCCCACCCAGACAGACACGCGCAGGGCGACGCAGGCACACGCCGCAGGCCGCCGCGCACGCGGGACGCCGCCTCCCCGCCCCCGCCGCGACCCCGCTCCCGGTGGCCCCGTGGCCCCGGCGCGCCCACGTGGCCAGGCGCGGACCGAGCCCCCAGAGCACGCGCCCCCTGCCGGCCCCGCCCCGCCTCGCCTGGGCGCGCTCGGCTCGCACGCAGACCCAGCCGCAGGTGCTGGGAGGCCGCGGAGCGCGAGGGGCCGGGGCGCGGAGGGAGAGGGAAGGGCTGGAGAACGGAGGTGGAGCACACGTACCGGCCAGGCGAACTGGAAGGGGATGATGACGAGGCCCGGGTCCTGGTCGCCACCAGCCCGGGCCCGCGCCCGCGCTCGGTCCCCCGCAGCGCCCGCCGGCGGCAGGTAGAAGGAGTTGCCGCCCAGCACGGGCGTGGCGCCGTGGCCGTAGCTGCAAGGCCCCGTGGGCGTCACCTTGGCCTGGTACTCCTTAAGGCACACGCGCACGTACGTGTCGCACTCGTCGTGGCCGCAGCCCCCCGCGCGCGTTGTCCGGCCGTCGCCGTCACAGCAGGCGCCGCTCAGCAGCTCCCCGTTCACGTTCCGCAGCGCGCTCAGCTGCAGCTCGAAATAGCCCATGGGCCGCGCCGCCTAAAAATAAGGCAGCGGGAGAGCGGAGGGAGGCGCGGGCCGGGGTCGGCGGGCCGGGCGCCACGGGTGGGGGAACAGGCCCCGCCGCCCCGCCCCCACCCAGCCGCGCCCGCTCGGAGCCCCCGCCGCCGCGCGCAGCCTCGAGGGCTTCCGAACCGCGGCGGCCCCAGGCAGTGCCCGCCCGGCCCCGAGGGGTGGCCCGGTGTGCCCCGTCCGCGACCCCCGCCGCCCCCGCCGCCCCGCTCACCTGCACCCAAAGAGCCAGCAGCAGCACCAGCCGCCGGGGCAAGCGCCCCCGGCCCTGCGCCCGCATTGCCACCGCGACCCGCCCGCCCGGCCCCGCCGCCATTGGCCACGCGCGCCGCCTCCGCCCTCGGCCTCGCACTTCCTGGCGGAGCCATGGCTGCGCAGCGGGCCGGCCGGGGGGCTCCTGAACCCGGGCCCCGCAGCCCCGACCGCCCGGCCCCGCCGCCGGGGCTGTCCGCGCCGCGATCGTAGCGCGTCCTGCCAGGTGGGCCTACGCGCGCGCCCACCCTTCAGCCCGGGACCGCCGGGAAGCCGCGCCCGGCAGGGGCGGGGGGCGGGCGGCGATCGGAAGGGTCCCCGGCCCCCGCGAGCCCCCTGCGCCCCTTGGTGCCCGGGGCGGGCGGGTGGGCGAGTGGGGCGCCGCGACTGGGGGAAGAGGCCAGGGGAGGGGCCGCCGCCCCCGCAGGTGACACAGGTGCGGCCTGTGCGTTCCGCCCCGCGCGTGGCAGGTGAGTGGCCCCCGCCCCGGGCGGTCCCGACTCCGCCTCCGCCTCCTCGCCTCCGGC